GAGCATCAAGATCGGAACCAATGGCCAAGAAATCAGAGTGAGTATATGGTTCCCGACGATAGGCTTGTAGGCATATGTTAGTAGCAGCGAGGCCACACAGATTCAATGGAGGCCGATCAGGCGGATTTTCTACAGAATCTCCTACAGTCCCCTTCCCAAGTTCGTCCTCGGATGGTCCCTCGCCATCATCCCTCCTGTTTTGTGTTTGCCGCGTTGCAGAAAGGTCTGCAGTTCGAAGAGCGTTGCAGGTGTGGTAAGGATGCTTGGGGAGGCAAAAGACGGGGACGGGATGTTGGAGAGGGTTGTGGTGGGGAGAATGAACGGGTTCTTCTTCGTCCAAGAACAAAGATGGAGGAAAGGGGAGTAAGTTGAGGTTGGGAAGTAGGTCGAAGTCGGCGTCTATGACGACGAAGTAGGTTTTCTGCAGGGGCAGAACATGATGACGGAGTTTGTGTGGACGAAGTGGTTTGTGGATTAGGAAGAGGGGTAACGGATCGAGACAAAACCAGGATAGGTAGCAGTGGTGAAGAAATGGGTGGTAGAGTAGTCGAAAGGTGGGTAACAAACGACTATAAAACCAAGGGAAATAAAGGCGGTGAAGACGGGGGGGATGAAGTCAGGGGTTATGAAGTGGTGGAAGAAGAGACAGGGGGGGCAGTCGTAGGTGAGACTCGAAGAGGGGACTCTGCACGTGGTAATGCAGGCATGGCCACGGATGCCATGGAGGAACGCACTGAGACCAAGGGCGACACAGCAGCTGCGGTGGTCAGGGATGTCATGGAGGAACACACCGAGACCAAGGGCGACACAACAGCTGCGGTGGCCACGGATGCCATGGAGGAACACACCGAGACCAAGGGCGACACAACAGCTGCGAGTCGAGTTGCTCCCTCGGAATCAATCGTAGAAGCAAACAAGGCGAATGAGGAAGAGGTTGCGAACCGAAAAGGGGCAGTGATGAAAAAGAGGGCATGGAAGGGGTTACTAAGACTAACGAGGACGCAGGTGCGACGGACACAGGTAATGAAAAAGAGGCTGTGATAGGTGTGACAGGCGTCGATAATGAAGAAGGAGCTGCGACGGGCGTAGTCCGAGGACAGTGTGTGGATACCCGAGAAAGTGGGTGATGAATAGACCATCAAAGCATGTTGCGGAACCAGCTCGAGAGGCGGGTCACGTGCGCGGGGTACCGGTGTTGACGTTTACTAATATAGGAAGTTCATCCTTTTGCAAGCGTTGTTGGAGAGTGCCCGCGAAAAAGCATGCGGCGTGTGAGCATCGCAAAACATACTCGAACCTAGTAAACTGGCTTGTAAACACTCCCGCCGATTGGTGTGCAGGGACGTTAGACGTAGCATTAGGATAACGAATAATAGGGAAATTCCATTCAGCTGCTTTGGCAAAGACATTCCTACGCAGGGAACCGTCAAGGCGAACTTGAAGGCGTGCACCCAAGAATGTGCAAGAGGCATCAGGTGCTGTAGTCTCCTTCCATTCGAGGCCATAGTGCTTTGACGGTGGTGGCAGATATCCTCATGAGAGAACATCATCGATCAAGTGGTATGTGAACGCATATCGTTGAGCTGCGCGAAGATCACGCCGCTGGAGGTCAACAACAAATCGAGCCTCATCCCAATACAACGTCAAATTAGCTATCTCCAGACCAGAATTAGTCCCCATCGGGATGCCAATCAGTTGATGTCGCAAGGTGTCGTCTGCTGCATAAAGATACGTGTTTGTGACAATGAAACGGAGATGTTCAAGAATTTGGGAAACGGTCGAGGTGTGTGGTCCGGTATCAATCGTCCACTCCCCTTGACGGGCCCCTTTAACAATCATGTTAAGGGTAGGAGGATGTGTGCGCCCATGTGTGTGTTGTTGTAAGGCATATGTATAGGCTTCCTCAACCGCTTTTGATACATTATGACAAATACGGTCATGAGGAAGATTGGTATACATAGTTGTGAAATCAACAGTGTGAGGAGCATGGTCACGAAGAGAAAAGGAATTACGTTTGAGATCAAGCATCACCTCCTCAGCGCTTTGCACGATCTAGCACCGTCTCACACCGCTTTGTTGATACAACACATTATCCTTCTCACAGAGAGTTTCAATGACTCCTTGTAGTGCAACGCTAAGGCGGGCAGAAGTGACGGTAGTACTGGCCAAGGGTTTGTGGGGAGGTCAATGGTGGACTGCATGAACAGATGGCGCAGTTGATCGAGATCGCTGCGACAGGGAGAGATTATTCCGCTCTGTGACGCCGACAATACTGCAAAGCCCAGGAGGCGATTTGTGCGCTTTAAGTGCATAGTACAGATATGGCAGCGTGTCTTTGTGTATATATCCCCACCGATGATTCCAGAGCGCGTGATGTTCCAGAATATCTGCGACAGACTCAAGAGGCACATCATAGGTAGGGCTGTCCAAATGAGCAGATAGATCAGACAGGTACCAATTTTTACAACAGATTGCCAAGTTATGTGAGGTCTTGTCGACAAGAACAATAGCAAAGTGTTGTTGAAGGTGTCTGAAAGCGCTGTGCACTGAGTGAAGGGGGTGCGGTTGTCGTGTGGTAGTGTGGGGGGATGAGATGTTGCTTTGGCAACATATGAGAACGGATGAGCGCCACTGCTGCAATTTGTTCAGAGCGGTCGGCCGAAGCTGCTCGAAGACCGACCTCAGGTATTTAGCAATATACACATCAAGGCCATGCATAGTACAGATATGGCAACGTGTCTTTGTGTGTATATCCCCACCGATGATTTCAAAACGCGTGATGTTCCAAAATATCTGCAACAGACTCAAGAGGCACGTCATAGGTAGGGCTGTCCAAATGAGCAGATAGATGAGACAGGTACCAATTCATCTCCCCTGCGTGCGCGACTTCTCTGCTGCTTCGTCCTGCTGCATTTCGTAACTTAACTCTACTCCCCTGGGTGCGCGACTTCTCGCTCACATTCTCTTCCTTTGCGCCTCAATTCTTTCTTCCTGCTCCCACCGAAAGCCTCCATTCTCTCTTCTTGACCAGCAATCTCAACTGCCTTCCTTCCCCCTCTCGCTTCTTCTTGCCACTCACACAACTTGTCTTCCCCCGTGAATCTTCCTCCTCCCTTCTCTCCTTCCCACCTCGCATTTCATTCGTCAAACATGATGCACCTCGGATCGATGTGTGGAGCGCGACTAACTCCCCCATGCTGCAGCCCAAGCATGCAACTCATGAGGCACTTCCTCTCCAACCCTCCTCCCTTTCCCTGACTAATCATTCCCCTTTCTAGCATACATTTCCACAGCTCTAAATTTCGGGAGCGCTACGTTATCTCCCTCTGTTCTCCTTGGAAGTTAGCGGGATCACTAGGGTTGGCTGGTATGTGTGTGTGCGTGGATCAAAAAGCCCCGGCAAGCTGGCGCCGATTACGCAGAGTTGCGGGATCAAGAGGGTTGGCTGGTATGTGTGTGTGTGTGTGCGGATCAAAAAGCCCCGGCGAGCTGGCGCCGATTACGCAGAGTTGACATGCCGCTTCAGTGGACTGCAGGACATAGGCAAACCCAGCTCATGTGATTGGGCTAAACGCCGTAAACGGGCGATTGTTGGACGCATGACAACGGACTTTCCACATCAAGATTCCTGGCCATGACTTTTAGGGGTTTTCTCTTCTAGAGATTCCCAAGAGAGAGACAAGGTAACACTTCAGGACTTGAACTCTTGATTCTAAGTTGATTTCTCTCGTCTCCCCTTCCTTATGTCTACATTCTGAAAAATTGATAACCTCAATCAAGTCCCCTTATTGCATGAATGAATAAAGTTGATTTCTCTCGTCTCCCCTTCCTTATGTCTACATTCTGAAAATTTGATAACCTCGATCAAGTCTCCTAATTGCATGAATGAATAATTGTCTTCGTTAATTACGTTCCTTTTGTGATGCATGTGGACTATTCCTGGCAGTTCTCTGCCCTTGAATCGGCAAACTATCATTGCTCCCCCTCGACCGGCGACATGCGCCCACCCTTCCCTTGTGAAGAACAGAGGATTCGGGTCTGCAAGTGGGACGTAAAACAAGCAACAGCTCGGTTACTTCTTCCCCAATGAAGGCTGTTGCTCAGCCTTCATCAGCTCGGGTTTCAGGTTTCCGGTTTCGGGTTTCGGGTTTCGTGCCGCTACACGTGATTGAGTACTCAATGGCCTTCTCAACCCACGCTGGTAGTGGGACGAGGCCCCTGGAAGGATGAGCACTGAAGTGACAAAATACATCCTTTTTTCTTTTTTCTTTTTTCTTTCTTTTTCTTTTTTTTTTCTTTTTCTTTTTTTTTTTGTCCTTGTGCAGGGCCATGCTAGTCTTCTTTGTGCTGTATCATTCCAACTTCAATGGGTGTCCCAAAGGGTGACAAAATAGTAAAACACATGCTAAATTAGTAAATTTGCTAATCTTCTTTTCTAAGTTTTCTTTCCTTCTGTTCAATTTCTTTCAGAAACAGGAAGCTTCTTTCTGAATATGGTTGTATAGATTTTCTTTTTTTCATTTATCAGATTTCTTAAACCACCAGTACCTCTGAGCATGGTTTTTTTCCCGAAGCAGACCTGGACAGCACGGCAAAGAAAAATGAGCCACCCAGCAGCGCACTGGTTTTCTTTTTTGGCTGGTGCCCCGCCAGCCATTTCGGTCCAATAGCACTGTGTTCATCTGCAATCTTCGGATCGAGTCAATTTTGATTCTCAAGTTGCCCCAACATGTACTACGAAAAGCCACATGGGCTTCCTCCCCAGTCAACCTCTCTCTCTCTCTCTCTCTCTCTCTCTCTCTCTCTCTCTCTCTCTCTCTCTCTGTGTGTGTGTGTGTGTGTGTGTGTGTGNCTCTCTCTCTCTCTCTCTCTCTCTCTCTCTCTCTCTCTCTGTGTGTGTGTGTGTGTGTGTGTGTGTGCGTGTGTGTGTGTGTGTGTGTGTGTGTGCACATGGCGGTCATGGCAGAGGCAACGGTTCACCGAGTTCACTCCATCCATTTACTCGTTCGGATAATTTACTCGTGTTCCCTTAAGGCACTAGTACCTCCGCTAGTGTTGGGAAATCAGGGAAAACGCCCGTTGCCAAAGGGTTCGGAGGCCGGGCCCAACGACGGTTGCCTGTCGTTTCGTTTCAGCCTCGTAAGAGGTCGGAGGCCCACCCGAGGCCCGCTATTTTCCCACTCGGCAAAGGTACTAGTGGTTAAACACAAAACTTGTCACACGGGTTGAGGGAGTACAAAGCAGATCCGAAAGAGAACAGCTACAGTCCCCCTTAAATTCGGGAATCAAGACAATGTAGCAATGCAAATCAGCTATTGAAACCATGGAAAGCGAGCCGTGACTAGAAAAACTGCTCAGCTTTTTCCTCCTGCAAAAACTCCACACCGTCACAAGCCCAAGAGCAACCCTGTAGAGCTTATGGTGGTTTCCGGCTCCCCAGCATTATAGTGGTTCTCCAGGTGATTACATTCCATCGGCAGTCTCTCAGCACCCACTACGCTAAGTCCCGATTGTCCCAATTGTGAAAAAGAAAAGCACCGCCGGTTAACTTGAATCAAAATTATTGTCAGGGCACAGTTTAGGCAGCACCACTGTGAATCTAATTGCCATTGAAATTTTAAAATTGATTAAATTAAACGAATGAAACTAAAAAGGAATGCAGCGAATTGTGAGGTCCCTGGCCTCGTTTTTCAATCCATTAATGAAACTTTTTTTGTTTGAAAACACACACACACACAGACACACGCACAAAAAAAAAAGGAGTGCAGTGCTAATCTTCTCTGTATCGTTCCAATTTTAATGGATGCCCCCTGCGCAAGGATGACTCGCATAAATCGAGAAATGGTCCAATTTTTTTGGCGGACGAAGACTCCGAAGAGTCATCAAGCTCGGAGATAAAGAAGTACAAAAAAAAAAAAAAGGAATGCAGCAAAGGAAAGAGGAGGGAACCAGGCAAAACATAACAGCCAAAATTCCCCAAAATTGAATTAGATATCATTAACGGTTTGCAGGGCGGAAAACATCAGGGACCGTATCTCCTACTGTAGGGATGAAGGTAATTAGTAATTACTGATCAGTAATAAGTAATTACCAAAATCACTATTTAGCAAAACGGGCACAGGGAAAAAAAAAAAAAAAAAAAAAAAAGATAACAAGCACGGGGGGATAGAAAAAGAGACCCGAAAACTTCGACCCAAAAATTAATCTTTTGGCAGAAAGGACAAAAAAAAAGAAAAAAGCGGCAAGCGCTACCAGAACTGATGTGTACCAGCACTCTTGTACTCGCTCATCCCAGGACAGATCGAATATGGCGAGCAATCGCATTCGCCAATGCATCGGCATCAGTCTGTTGTTCTGCCTCTGCGTAGACACGCACAACATCTTCCGTGCCGGACGGACGGACAAATGCTCGGCCATGCTTGTACTTCGCTGCAAAGGGAAAAATGACAAAACAGTCCGAGCACACGCAAAGAGTACATTTGTAATGAACAACTTAAGAACCCGGATTAATATTGCATGAAGCTATGGGCCTTCACAGTCGACAATACACAGCTCCATGAAAGTTCACCTTCACCAGTATCGTCACGCAACGAAAGGCAGCACGTTAGCGCCTTTCGTACTCCTCAGTTAGTGATTGCAGCACGTTAGCGCCTTTCATATCATCTTTCTGGGTTTTCTTCTTTGTTTCCGAAATAAAACGCCCGGTCATTATCACTGCATCCGGTCCGAAAGTTGCCCCAAATACAGCTATAATGACTGGGTGTTCTACTTGGGTGAAGACGGTACGGTTGCAGTCTGAGAGTCCTGCAGTTTTCTGGGTATTGAACGTAGTATTGCTGTCTGATGGTCTGATTTGCTGAAGATTTTTGAGTTCGAGTGTGTTTTGCTGTAATGATGGCCTGTGTGGCCAAGACTCTATGTAATGCTTGCTGAGCCTGTGAGGTAACTCTGTTCCCGGGCTGTGTTTTGTAGTTATCAGGAGGTGTAGAACAGGCAATTGGTTGGATGCCGGACGTACTTTGAAGTACATGTCTAGGACAGACGAGGACAAAAGTAGAATTTGGCAGGGAACGGGTAGCATTTTCCAGCAATTCGGGTAGGCCTAGAAAGGTCGAGTAGGCTTTGGAAGGGCCGTTAGCTTCCAAGCAGGACATGATGGTCCAGGGGCCAAATGTAGGTAGATATCAAGTTAGCTTCACACCCAGGAAGTGAACTGCAGGCTGCAATGATGTTCCCGGCAAAAGACAGACACTTCCGGTAGGGTCTCGTGCACAACGGTAGAGGCTGAGATGCCCAGGTAGAGCTACTGGAGGGTAAGAGTCATGAGGGTATCTTTCGGTGCAATGCGTAGTCGGGCCGTGGTGATGCTACGCCCTGTGGGAGAGTTTGACAGAGCTCTGAGTTAAAGGACGAGCTGAGGGTGAGGAAAGCGGCCACCATGGCTATGGAGCAGTAGCAGAAGGAAGAATGCCTAGGCTATGGAGGTAGAGGGAGAAGAACCTCAAGCTAGGCTGCGAAGATAGGAAGAGGACAACAGTGGAAGAAGAGGAAGAAGAGGAGGAAGCAGAGGAGGAAGAGGAGGAGGAAAAAGAGGAGGAAGAAGAGGAGGAAAAAGAGGAGGAAGAAGAGGAGGAAGAAGAGGAGGAAGAAGAGGAGGAAGAAGAGGAGGAAGGAACTGACAAGAGGTACTCATCTTTAGCTATGGTGGCCCTTCATCTCGATTTGCTTGGTTGACGCTCCATCTGGACGGAGGCCCCTAATGGGCTACCGGTTGATCATGGACTTCAACCCGGAGCGTGGCTATGAGAGTGGTCGATAACGGAGACCTAAGATTTCAGCATTTTTTTTTAATGCTATTTATAAGAAAACCCGAAGGCCTTTTGTTAAGTCTTAAACCAAAAATTCCATCATTCCATTGAGTGCACAGTTTACCCCGTTAACCACTGGTGGGCTATGACGGAATGAGATGCGAGAAGCACAGTAGCAGTTGCATTGTCCTGTGAATATCTGTGCTGGGCATGGATGAACAGCCAGAGACCTAGATATTCACCCTTGAGGAAAGGAGCGGGGATGAGGTGAGGCTCTTTTTCGAGTCTTGGCAGGAAGGGGGTTCTGCTTGGACATGGATTCTTGTCCATTCATTCATTCATTCATTCATTCAGTCATTCATTCATTCATTCATTCATTCACTCAATTCATTCATTCATTACTGTACTTACTTAATCACTTATAAGGGGAGGAGGAGATGATGTGAGGGAGATGATGGTTGACGAGAGGAGGAGGAGGAGATAGACATCAGTTCGACCTTGTCTATTTCTTATTTTTCTTCCCTTCTCCGTTCTCTTCCTTCCCTAGGTATTTCCGCTTGTTCTTTTTTTTTCTTTTTTTTTTTTCCGCTTGTTCTTCAGTTGCGAAATCTTGCATTTGTCTCAAAGTTGTCTTGCATTCTAAAGTGAGAAGGACCATAACACTAATAGCAGGGTCCTCTACCGTCGCCAGAAGTCCCAAACCTGACATTCCAGTCGCTCATATTTTTTAGCACCCATTCTCTTTGCTCATCATTCCATTCACTTCCGCATTAAAAAGCCTATCCCCTGAATAGGGGTGAATCATCACTGAAATGTGAATTATAGAACTGAATTCGCAATGTTCACATACATCTATCTCACTTGAGTCACTTCTATTCACATTTCATCGCATTCACATGTAACTTTTGTCTATCAAACAAAAAACGCGAATGGTGCAGTATGAGTAGAGGAGGGGAGAGGAGTGTGTGGTGGATAGGAGAGTCTTGTGCAGACTTGCGGTAGTGAAGGGGCTGTTTTGAGCTGTATGCGTGTTTTCGTCTCATATGTTCACCAGGTTCATTGCTTACCACCCGCACAATCTTTGGAGATGATACCATCAATCATATTGTTGACGAAGCATCAGACCCCCCACATGAACCTGATCACACACATGGGCAGGTGTGTGCTATCATTTTCGCTATACACAACTGCACAAGAAAACGCATGACTGTGCCAGGCTGTTTCGTCGGACTTCCACCCACTCATCAGGCCGTCGTGTGTGTGTGTGAGGGTGTGTGGGAGGTACTGCGTACACTGGATGCTATCAAGATGGGCAATGGGCGGTACGCTATGGGCAGGATGGTACTATGGCAGCTGAGCGGTACTACCTGGGGCCACTGACACGATGTGGTGCGGGTGGTACTACATTGGCTGGGTGGTACCATGCGGGTCAGGTGGTACTCTGTGGGCTGCATGGTGTTATGCGCCCCGTCGTGGTACTGGCCAAAAAAAAAAAAAAAAAAAAAAAGTATGTGCTTTCATGCATGGCCCGTCTACTTGTATCCAGATGGGTGTGGCAATGGTAAAAAAAAGAGAGCAAAAAAAAAAACATCATGTACTTACCTGCTCAATCTGTGTACTTGTATTAGTCTGGTGGGGTCGGTGGGGTGAGCGGTGCAATATGGCATGGGCAGTGCTATGTGGGCCACATAGTACTAGGTGAGTTAGGCAGTACTCTGTGGGCCAGGTGGTTACTCTGTGAGTTAGGAAGTACTGGCATGGATGGTACTCTATAAGTAGGTACTATCTGCACGCTAACCGATACTGCCCCCTCCCCAAAAAGGAACCACATGGACTCATAGAGCATGTGTTACTGCCACAAAAAAAAAAGATACAAGGAACCCCCCTATGGACTTGCCTGTGCACCCTAAGTACTTGTGCCCATGACCGTGCTTTTTCTTTTTTTTTCTTTTTTCTTTTTTTCTTTTTTCTTTTTTCGTTTTTTGTGTGTAATTGGATAAACACAAAAACAACAATGTTGAACAAACCATATGTGACAAAAACTACGGTTCCGTCAGCACATACCCCCCATAAAAGCTGCGGTTTGACGCTACGCCTCGACCGGCACGCGTCCCCACGAATGCGGTTCGACAAAACTACACCTCGACCAGCATGCGCCCCCACAAAACTGCAGTTTGATCAAAACTCTGCCTCCACCAACGCGCAACCCGACAAAACTGCGCCTAGACCAACACATGTAAGAAATGAAAAACTATATCCCAGGTCACTGCAAAACAAACACCCTAAGAAGGCCAATGTGCCAAACAAAAAACTGTGCCGTGAGAGGATCAACCGAAAAGAAAATATCGAACAAACGCCCACACTGCAGGAGCCCAACCCAATTCCGTGGCACTGGGTTTTGTGTCAAATAAGACTTCTACTCATCCTTCCTTCATATAATTAGGGGAAAAAAAAACAAACAAAGAGGAGAAGGACCCAACGTCGAACTGCCAAAGCATCCAGACCCTCATATAGGTAGAAAACAAAAGGAAGGTCTGGACGCTTTGGCAGTTCCGCGTTGGGCTGTTTTCTGCATAATTGTGAATGAAGCTTAAACCACCAGTACCTAGCGGGTCTTAAGGCCCGTGGCTCAGGCTACCGGTAGCCCGGTCGTTCCCGAGCCTCGGACTTTATTGCCGAGCCTCGGACAACCGGTAGGACATCACGGAAAA